CCTCGTGCGCCCCCTGCTGACCGGCTGGAGCGGGTGCGCCGGCCTCCGTCCCTGTCCCGGGGATGGGATGGGTTCAAAGTGTCATGACATGCGGGTTTAGTTACTGGTGTGCGGATACTGTCCTCGGAAGAAAATAGTCTCCTCCTTTCGGTGGTGAGTAGACGCGTCCTCGTGATCCAACTCGGTGTGATTCCAAAACCTGTGCCGCACTGCAACACCTGGCTTCAAGTCAATATGCGCACACAACTCCTAAAGCTACGAGTTGTGTCTCCTCCTATTGAGCTTCTTGGCGAAACAGTACTCCATGGTAACCCGGGACTCTGGGCCTGAGCTCAGAAGCCTAAATTCCTTGCCACTCCGTCACGTCTCCTCTTTTAATCTGTGCATGAGGCAGCAAAACTCCTTATTCGGTAAGGGTGCTTGCCACCCAAACCCACGGCCTGAGTTCAATCCCTGGAACCCACTAGATGGAAGGAGAGAACTGACTCCTGAAAGCGGTTCTCTAACCCCCACAGGTGTGCACAGCCAGACATAAGCAAATAAACGTGGTAAGATTGCAACCCAAGCACTGGGGAGGCCAAGGAAGGAATGTCTGAGTTCAAGACCAGCCTAGGCTACATACACAGTGCATTCCAAATGAATCTCAGCTACATAGCAAGACCTGTCTCAAGAAGTTAAAATCATCGCGGTCATCGTCATCATCTTTGTCAATAGGGGTTCATCTCAGGACGAAGAAGGTAACACAAAAGGTGTGTGCCCTCAAGTACACTGTAAATGTTAGCCACTTTTAGGATACACTCCACTTGGTCTTAGAATATAAAACTGGTGGGGAGGGGCTGGAGAGATGGCTCAGTGGTTAAGAGCACTGGCTGCTCTTCCAGAGGACCCAGGTTCAATTCCCAGCACCCACAGGACAGCTCACAAGTCAAAACACCAATGTACATAAACTACAAATAAATAAATTTTTAAAACCTGATTGGTGAGTTACCTTATACATTATTGGAAGGGGCTATACAGTGGCACCCTAATAACTGTAGTGTCACTTATGAGTGCTCTACTCTTCATACGTGTATTAATGCTAGCATCTTTTTGAATGTCACCTTTGAAAGCTTATATATTCTTAGTACTACAAGGCCAGCAGTCTCAATGCCAGTGAAGCTGTTGAAACCATGTCAGTTCTCACCGTAATTATTCTAGCCCAGAAATTCACACACACACACACACAAAAAAAAAACTGATTGGTGAATGAATGTCCACTGATAAGGAAGAACATGTTTAATAAATTACCACTCATGTAAATGAGTCCTCACCTTGCAATACAACATCCAGTTTCCCAAGTGGACTTGAAGTCTGGTTACAGTACACTATTTTTCCCCTCAAGACAGGAACTCACATACCCCACGGCAGTCTTGAACTCTTTATGCAGCTGATGTACTTGAATGTCTGGCCCTCTCTGCCTCCACCTCCAGAATGTGGAGATTACAGGTGAGCTACCCCAATGCAGCCAGTGCTGAGGGGCCTACCAGGGGCAATTACTCTACAACCAACCCACATTTCTCAACTGGAATAGCTACATTTCATCTGACCTCAAGGACAATCGCTCAGCAGGAAGCCATCTCTAGTGACCAACTATGTAAAATAAGATAGTTATAAAAGTAAAACAAGATATTTTTTTTAAAAAAAAAGACCTCAAACAGAGAAAAATGCTTGAGGAATTCCTCCCAAAGAATAACTCTTGTGAAATCATGTATAAGCCCATAGGTCTCTGACCTTGACTGCTTGAGCTAGGTCAGCTGCCCTTTCTAGGGAGTTATAGGTCTGATGCTCTTTCCTGGTAGTAAGCCTGTGATTTAGCCAACTCTGCCCATCTACACACTAGTTTTCAGCCAAGTAAACAAAGGAGCAGCTGCATATGGTCCCCATGGAGCAGTTACAGAACAAATGCAGGTCTGGAGGGCTTGCAACTCAATGACCCCAGCTCTCAAGGCTCCTGAAGCCCACCCTCCATGCCTTTCCCCAAGACAAGTGTCCACCTCACCTGGATCCTCCCACTCCAGCCCCCTTTAGCCTAAAACCTTCTGTCATATGCAATGGAAAGTACTAATAATGCAACCAAAAAAAAATACTAGTCAGTGGACATGAAGGCTACTTCAGCAGCTGCCATTAGAACATGGTATAGTCATTGAATAAGTGCAAAGATAAGGCTGGATAAGAGCACCAGACCTGGGTTTAACCTGGACCAACACGGAGGCTCACAACAGGCTAGGACTCCAGCCCAAGGTCTCGGATGCTCTCTTCTGGTATTCATGTGCACAAGACACACACAGTGCACAGACAGATGCCAGAACACCCAGCCATTTTTCTTTAAAGTAGAAAGCACATAGATGAGTTTTTGTCATCCAAATCTTTTTCTTCAATATCAAAGTAATGCCACTTGGCCCCAAGAATTGGAAGGACTGCTGTTCTGGGACAGTGAAACACCTGAAGACCTACTTGCCCATCTGTAAAATAAAAGGACTGGACCAGTTTTTAAACTGTACAAGGGAGCCCTAGTACTCCACAGGGATGCTGAAGATTTATCAGCGGGGGACAAGGCGAATTCCTCAGTTCTTTTCTACTTCTTAAGTTTTTGTTTGTTTTGCTTTTACAAAATATCTACAGGGTCGTTTCTTCTTTTTTGTTTTGTTTTTGTTTTTTGAGATAGGCTTTCTCTGTGGCTTTGGAGGCTGTCCTGGAACTAGCTCTTATAGACCAGGCTGGTCTCAACCTCCGGCCTCTGCCTCCCGAGTGCTGGGATTAAAGGTGTGCACCACCAATGCCCAGCCAGTGTCATTTCTTTTAACAAAAGAATTCCTTTGGTAAAGGGAAGTGACCAGAGAAGCCCTAAAATCCAGTCTAAAAGATTTTCCAGCTCCAAGCTCCTTTGTCAAATATGAGTTTTGCTGGTAGATCTCTGAAAGTCCAGGGCCAATCTGGTCTGTGTAACAAGTTCCAAACTAGGAATGGCTACATGGTGAACCACTGTTTTGAAGAAGAAGAAGAAGAAGAAGAAGAAGAAGAAGAAGAAGAAGAAGAAGAAGAAGAAGAAGAAGAAGAAGAAGAAGAAGAAATGGGGTTGGTTTTGTTTTGGTTTTTGGTTTTCAAGACAGGGTTTCTCTGTGTAGCCCTGGCTGTCCTGGAACTCACTCTGTAGACCAGGCTGGCCTCAAACTCACAGAGATCCACCTGTCTCTTCCTCAGAGTTCTGGGATTAAATGCATGTGCCACCTGGCTAAAAGTGAGTCTTAAGTCTCCCTTTTCTGCACTCACTAATGAAACATTAGCTTTCCGTATCTGAAAGACTGAAAAGGGCCAAAGGTAGTACTTTAAAAGCCACTGAGGAGCCTTCCAGCAGCTTCATAAAGGATGAGTTAAAAGGCATCCTACTGGCCGAAGTTAGGCTCAAAAACAATGTTTCTCCACTTAAACAAATTCTTTCTGAAGCTGTGTTCTCTGCTAGGCAATAGAGCCGGTGTTAGCTTACTCTCGGATACTGTGTAACTTTCCTCAGTGCCTCAGCAGCCACCCCACACTTAGCCGGGTTTAGCGGAACAAATCTCTTGCACCTGAACCAGGGCATCTCTGATACACTCACAGGAATTCTGCTTAACATGGGCTGCAAAGCACAGGGAGGCTTGAGGTGGGATTCCTGGCGCTTTCGGAAAACATCCTCCTGCCTTTGAGGAACTCAGCCTCAGTCACAGGACAGTCCATTTAGGGGACCACCCTGAGGCCCTGCCCATCACACCTCCATCTGCCCAGTACTCGGATTACTGGAAGGCGTTGCCACTAGCTTTTTTAGTTTCATCAATCCTTACTAGTATGTCTGTGTATGTCCGTGCCATGGAGCACACGAGGAGGCCAGAGAACATCCTTGGCCGAGTTAGTTCTCTCCTCCCACCTTTATGCAGGTTCCAGGAATCAAACTCAGGTCTTCATGCAGGATCTCAGCAGTCTAGCTGGCAGATCGGGAGATCCGTGCTCAGCTCCAGTCCCACTACAGCCATCAGCAACAGCGTATCAAGCAGGAACCCACAGACTAGAACCATCCCTGAAAGCAGGGCATGCTCTTATTAACTCCCAATTCCCATAAAAAGGAATGTCAAACTCCTGCCATGTAATTAGGACAGACCTCGATGGGGCTGGTGACCCGAGCTCCATTCCCAGCACCCATGTTGGGCAGCCACAACTACCTGTAACTCCAGTTCCAGGAGATCGGACACTTTCTCACACCTTGGAAACAGCATCCACATGCAAATAACCCCCATGTATGTATGTATGTATGTATGTATGTATGTATGTAATTGAAAAATAAAAAATGAAGCCAGGCAGTAATGGCACACACATTTAATCCCAGCATTCATGAGGCAAAGGCAGGCAGATCTCTGAATTTGAGGCTAGCCTTATTTACAGAGTAAGTTCCAACATAGCCAGAACTATACAGAGAAACCCTGTCTTGGGCAATGGGGGTGGGAGTGGAGCTGGGCAGTGGTGGCACATGCCTTTGATCCCAGCACTCTGTAGGAGAGTCAGGTGAATCTCTGAGTTCAAGAACAGCCTTGTCTACAGAGTTCCAGGACAGCCAGAGCTACACAGAAAAACCCTGTCTTGGGGAAAAAAAAAAAAAACAGGAGGGTGCTAGAGAGATGACTCCGTGGTTAAGAACACTTGCTGCTCTTCCAGAGGATCCAAGTTCAGTTCCCAGCAACCACATGGCAGCTTCGGGGACTCTCATCACCAGCTTTGGCCTCCCTAGGCCTCCACACAGGCAGCATACAAACACACATATAGAGAGATACTCACAAATTAAAAAAAAAAATACAGACAAGGTTGCTTTATTTATTAT